CTCCTCCTTCCTCTCCTACCCTATCTCCATCCACTCCGATACTCACCTCGGACCGAACATCGCCCCTCTCGCCACCCTCCTACTACTTCTCCACCCTCCTGTTCCGCTCCTCCTTCACCCAACCTCCACCCCCCCATCATCCTCCTACGCTTCCCCCGTCCGCTCCGATACTCACCTTCGGACCTGACAACCCTCCTCTCCGCCAATCCTTCCCCCTTACCTTTCCCCTCTCTCCTCCCTCTGGTACTCCTCCGCCACCCTTCCACCAAGTTACGACCTTCCGCTGCTGTCCCGTACTTCCTACTCGGACACCGATCGTACCTTCGCTCCGAGCCTCCGTCATAGTCCCGACCTCGGACTTTGACTCCACCTCAGTCTTAGTCCATTGCATTGGTGACCTCATACTACGTAAACACCATTGCCAATATCCCTCGGACTTTCAACCCCGCCTCCGTAACCTCTGTAAGCTCCACAACCCCCGAGCTTCACGGATCGCCTTCGGCACTTTCACCGCCTGTAATGTATTTCTCGCGTTTACCCCTCATCCCTATTTGGACTACTGCTTCTTCCCATTCTAGCCAGTTAGTCATCATCCCCACTTCTCCTCATCCTCCTGCCCCTCTGGGCCTGCCCTCCCTACCTCCTTTCGGACGTATCACAGGTCCTGCCTTATGACCTTCGGTACCGCTCCGCTCCTTCTTCCCTTTGTCCCCGTTCGGACGTCTTCATTCCGATTCGGTTTCCCTTTGTTTCCTTGTGCTCTTGCCCCTTCCATTATATATATCGGCACTTGTACATACTCATTTTGGCTCGGTCCGAAATCGACCTGAAATGCCCCCTAGAGACTTCCTGCTCACCTACTGTGAAATTAAGGACCAAATGGACAAACAGCAATGGCACAGCGCTCCGCTTGAGTCGCTGAGGCCAAGGTCCCTCCACGCTAAGTCTCCGATTCCACTCCGGAGTCATCTGTATCAGCCCCATTCTAACAGACATGAGGAGTAAAAAGTCAACAAGAGTATCATTTTCAGCCTGATTTAGCCATGATTTGGCCACAGCTGCTGCTCTACGACTATGTCCACCATTGAGCCTCCTTAGAAATGTAGTATAGGCTACCCCATAATCCAATGCATATTCTTTTGCACAGACTGGCTTCCGGCCTTCCTGCTTGGCGCATGCTAGTCCAGAATGGTATGATGTGAGAGCTTGCAGCATATGCAGCTCTGCTGCTTGAGCCACCTTTTGCTTTCGCAACCTCAGGGAATCTGCATGCCTAGCCATAGAGGAAGTTGGGTAGAAATTGGCAAGCAGCAGGCGCAAAAAGGGATGACTCAATGAAATGAAGCGCAGATGTAAACCTGCCCAAAATGAGTGTGCATTTCATCAAAACAAACAAACATGAGTGCATGTGACACTGGCTTTTTAGACTTGGGTGACATCCCAAGCTCTGGAGTGCACCCATACCACTGTAGCCCCACTCCTGGAAGCATGGGACACATAACTTTCGAGGATATGAGAAGTTAGGTTAATAGTCACCATAACTCATTTATTTCATGTCCGATCTGGCTAATTTTTTGTGTAGTCATAGTAGTAGTTATGATGGACAAACATGGAAAGAATGGGGGGATATCATTGCAGAATAAGGATGTTGTGGATGAAAAAACCATTGATGGGTGAAAACCGTTCACGTGTGAATTACTGTAATATTTAAACCGTTAATTTTTCTGCATGCCCAGGTATTGGCTCCACGACCTTGACTGTGCTTCCTCAAGCTCCCAGGGTTGGGTTGGGTGCAATGACCGCATGGGTTAATACTAAATGACTTGTTGTGCAACCCTCTGCAAACTGGACTCTGGCATTGGTCATCATAATTACATGTACAATACAAAATATTTGAATCACATCACAGACGCTATTCAGTATTCCCTTATGCGGCATTTCCATATCTGGCCACATTCTGACCTCTATTCAGTAGGGTCAGTTGGGTCCCAGCCTCTACTAAAGTAGAGGCTGGGATCCTGCCTAACCAGATGATACCAACCAGACTACCCACACACACACTATGTATAGAAAGTCCCCCCTCATGTACACTACGATGTATCAACGAGACAGCTGCACTGCCACGACATCACAAAGCTGTGGGGTATTAAGATAGATTTATCAGCATCAACCTTTGATGCAGACCTTGTTGTTACCGTGATGCATGACAGGTAGTTGGTTGTGTGAGTACAGTATGTAAATGCCAGGTGGAGGTGGTTTCTAAGAGTACCATGTTGTCAGGGCACACCCACCTGACCTGGCTCCACCCGGCCCAACCTGACCCGGTACCCCGCTGTCCACCCTTCCCTACCTCCTCCCCCTTTCCCTTCTTCCCTCCTTATTCTTCCTCCCTCACTTTCTCCTTATCTTACTTTGTCTTTATTCTCTCTTTATTCTACATGGACGACTTTCTTTGTATCAATGTACCATTGACCCATCTGCAGCACACCCACCATGAACCCAGCCCGGGCACCTCGGGTGACTTCCCGCTGTGCCCAGTATGCGTGCCTGCACCGGATGCCCTCAGGATCTCCCACGGAGACACCTGGGTGGTTACGGCTGTGTGCGAGGGTGATGTGGCACCCATCATGTGATCTAAGCCACATGTATATAAACGAACCTGAAGTGGGAACCAAAGAAGTAGCCTTCTTCTCAACTTTCCACTTCAGTCTAAGTGGCCAGGGACCATTGTCCCGCATCGGGCCTGTCAGTACGCACACCCGATCTGCCCCCTGCCAGGCTCTCAGCCCCGGACGCTAAACCCAGGCCCCCTCAACCCCGGACAAGTCCCTGACTGTCAGGGACGCGTCCGGGGTAGAGGAGGCCCGGGTGAGACGCCCGACACTAGGAGCCTCGCGGGGTGTGGAGCGGGCGTGCATACTGGCGGGCCCGGCTCAGGAGGCAGTCCCTGGCCACTTAGACTGAAGTGGAAAAGGGTGTTATTATTATTAAAAGGGAATACTATGTTACTTACCTGAAGTGGAAAAGGGTGAGAAGAAGGCTACTTCTTCGGTTCCCACTTCAGGTATGTTTATATACATGCGGCTTAGGTCACATGACGGGTGCCACATCATCCTCGCATACAGCCGTAGTCACCCGGGTGTCCCTGTGGGGGATCTCGAGGGCGTCCGCTGTGAACGCGCAAGCTGGACACAGCGGGGGTCGCCCGAGGCGCCCGGGCTGGGCGTGTCGTGAGCGTGCTGCGGGTGGGTCAATGGTACATTGATACAAGGAAAGGTTGTCCATGTAGAATAAAGAGAAAATAAAGAGAAGGTGGAATAAGTAAAGAGGGAGTGGAATGGAGAAAGAAAGAAAGAAAGAAGAAGGGAGGAGGTAGGGGAAGACTGGGTGGCGGGGTACCGGGTGAAGTGGGGCCGGGTGGGGCCGGGTCAGGCAGGTGTGCCCTGACACTGACACATGTGTCAACTCTGTTGAGCATTTCTGAGTCAAAAAGCTTCAAGTCCAAGATCCACATGGAACTTATGACCTAAGAAGTGTAGGTATAAGTGTTGAAAAACAAGGTTACGCCAGCGAGGGTAGGTGATGGAAGTAGACCGCTAAGTTTATCATCCTGATGTAAATAACCGTAAATACACGATTCGAGCTTGACTTCCAACAATAAGTCCTACAATCGAGGTAGAAGGTGATGGTTTGTAGAACTCAAGGACTTCATGAGCATCGACTCAAATGCTCAACTCAACCGTTACCTAGACATCAATCCTCAGCTCATTGATCACACACGAGTTAACAATAAGGTACAGCGCTCATTCAAAAGTTTGGTAACAAGTATGCGGTTTATGTAAAGATGTTTACACGAGTGGAGGCAAAGAGCGGCGATGGAGAGAAGCATACATAAGACATGTATGTACGAATGAAAAAGCAGGGAGAACATACCAACGCAACAATCCAATGACCAATGCATCCATCGTTACTGACAACCAACCGATAAATAATGAGCAGGGAACCGAGACAAAGTTGAGAGGGAAGACAACGCGTGTGAATCGACAAGCCAGGACCTGGGCATTATCGCCGTCAGCCATATGTATGAATGAAAACGCAGAGAGAACATACCAAGGCGACGATCCAATGACCAGAGCATCCGTCGTTACTGACCAACCATTAAATAACAAGAAGGGAGCCGAGAGAGAGTCGAGAGGGTAGATGAGATGGCCAAGATATTGGAGCCGTCAGTGATCATTGCAGATTGACAAAATGAAACGAATTTGAATGGCAAGACACGTGTATGCACCATCAACAGCGAGAATGCAGACAGGAGCCAAGAAATGAGAGTAAAGCCAGTCGGGAATGGAGAGAGGAAGAATTCGCAGTCAAACGAGGGAGTGCGAGCAGTGGAAGTGACGAGGCCAAAGGAGAAGACGACGGAAAACTGCTCGACGTTGTTAGCTAGGTGTAGGAAAGCATGAGGCGGAAGAAAGAGATGAACCTTGTCCCCCAGGACTTACCGATTTCGCGATTTTCCGACATTTTCTACCGCTGAACTTTGTCTGCGCCGTCACGTCATCCCGACGACCCTACACTGAATCTGAGGTGCACGAGACAAATCCGAGGCAAAGGCAAAGTTTGCATATTATACTAAGATATCTTCACGCAAGCGCGTGGCTTTGTGGCTGTACTGAGGCCACTTTGGTCTCACGTGAGTGTGGGAGCCAGCCAGAATCGACTGACTGTCACGAACCTCTCGGCGCTAACGAGCGTGGGAACGGAGTGGAGCGACGTGAGATCACGAGAAGGAAATCACAAGATCACGAGATGTCTATTGAGGCTAGTGACCTGTGTTGACCAGTTGAAGAGTCCGTCTTCACTGGTCAACTCCTTATATACATGCTAAAACATGCGAGGTGACAAGAGAAACATCCTAGTCATACAGGAAGTCTCAAGCTACATGAGCTGAAATGGAACTGAGATACAGTAAGCGGGACATGTGAGACCTCCGTTAAGTCCGTCCGGGGTTACGGCTTAACCGTAACACCCCCTCTTACACTGAGTTCGCTCTTTGCCTTGCACAACGATGGCAAGTTCCTCTGCTGCAGTGTCCACTTCCACAAGAATGCATGACGATCAAGTGGATAAGGTCATTAAGTCTAGCGCGCTCCATCATGAGCTATGGATTGCTTTCCTATCGCAAGCTGAGGGTAGCGAGGGAAATCAACAGTGGACTACATTTTTTAAATCTGTTTTTTCTACTCTTTCTGCCACTCTGCGGCAGGTGGGTAGGAACGTCGTTGGTGACCACGAACAGGCATCAATCGTGGCAAATTTCAGCGACGTCGAGCGCGCTAAATGCAAAGATTTGATGGTGGGTGCCATGAGACAGAACGAATGGCGCTCCTTGGTCGAGTATGGTGCGTGTCGGTCAGCATCAGGAGCAATAATTGTCATTGATTGGTGGAACAGTGGATGAGAAACTGCGACGCATTGGGGATAAGATTGTTAAGCCCCGTCTCAGTGACGGAGGTAATTAACTGTTTGTCTTGAGTTTGTCATCTGCCTGATGAGTTGCATCAGGTCTTCGATCGGCGTTTGAAGAACCGTATCGGGGAACGAGACCCAGTCTGTTTATCAATACGTTGAAATCGTATTGGGGGTCAAGCCGGGGTCCCGACTCATCTGGGGAACCGTACAATTGGTCCATATCAGTTATCCAGTCTTCTGGAATGGGGAAATCCAGGATGGTCGAGCAAGCCGCGCGCTCCATATTTACGATTCCGATCAATATTCGCGAGGACATTGGCTCTCTATTCCGAAGTGCGCAATGTTTCATCGCGGATTCCATATTTGTGATGACGTTAATTTCGCCAGCGTACCCTCCTCCGGACGAGGCGTTTCGACAATATTTTGAATCACATCAGTCGAAAACCGATCATTGCCTGCAGGCAGAATATGCGATTATATTGGCCTTGCTATTCGAACATGCCACCAAGCTTCTTAACGGCCCCACCTTCAATAATAATAAAAAGAAAAAGAAAACGGGAGCAGCGCTAGCACTTGAATGGACTGATTATCTCAACAAAGGACGAACCGATGCTGAAGTTGGTAACAACAGGAAAAACTTCCTAGATTCTGTGGCGGCTGAGGCAGTGGAGGTTGGTATCTAGAGGGCTTTATTGTTGCTGCCACATCCTGATTTTCCTTGGAAAGCTTCGAGCTTCGACGCTGGGTATGGCACAAGATAGCGCCCATGGTAGCCCTATAGGCCGAATGAAGGTCTCATGTTCCCGCTTTGTCGAAGCTCTCCCCGGGGAGGCGGGTGAACTCAAATGTATCGTTTATTTTGATGAAGCCCACCGACTTACCGAACCCGTCTCACCGGATCAGCAGAAGGTGACGCGTACTCGCTCGCCCTATCATAACCTCGGCATAGTGCTGGCTGAGCTGACAGATTGCGCCATTTTTTTCGTTTTTCTATCCACGAGTTCTCATCTCCAGAAACTGGCACCCTCGCCAGCCAGCCATCCATCAGTTCGTGTTGCTCAAGGTCGTCGCCTCTTCCCCCCTTTCACCGAGCTGCCGTTCGACGTGTTTGAGAACGAAGTTCTTGAATCTTTAAAACGCGATCGGAAGAACCCGAGCCTCGAAAACATGTGCCAACCCAGTATAATGGTAGGGTTTGGACGTAGTTTGTAAGTGTCTTCCACTCAATTTGCGGAAGATTCGGCTAAATTCGTAACAGATGGTATGTCCACCACAAAAACTGGGTAGAGAGGAAAGGAAGGCCTGTTATACCTTTTGCCGGAGAGAAACTGATCGCGCAAGGGGACGAGACGAGAGTGTTCCACTCTCAAGTGGCTGCGCTGGGGGTTCGCATTGGGATAACCTTCGACATGACCACTCAGGCCTCGAAAGTGATGGCTGCGGAGCTCGTTGAGTCACACATGCGCGTTGTTTATGCCATTCCCCAACATCGTGAGTTCATGCATAGCGGAACGCCCTCTGAGCCGGTACTGGCCGCGGCGGCAGCATTGTACCTGAACGATGACCATGGGATAGAGACGCGGGGTCCAGAGGTTCTAGCTCAGGCTTGTGGGAAAGGACTGCTTGCAAAAGGAGAGCGTGGAGAACTCTGCGGTCGACTTCTTGTGACCATTGCACACGATCTCGCCTTGACACAAAAGTACCAAAAAGTCACTTATAATCCAAATGACGCACGTTTCCATCAACCTGTCCCTGTCCTCGAGTTTCTCCAGGCTCTATTTGCACAGCCATTCCACGAGACAATATTGAATGCCCACTCGGTGACGGCCAGAGATGGTGTGCCCACCTTGGGAAAGGCGTTTGCAAAATCTTATATCTGCTTTTCCCATTTCGCTCTGGCCAAAGATACCGAAATGTTGACTGCCCAAAATCTGGCAGTGGCACTACGGCGTGGAATGGCCCTCCAAGCCAAAGATAACCAGGACTCTATCGATGCTGTCATTCCTGTCCATATGGGTCCCACAAGCACGACTATCTTGCCGGAGTCCACATCAGCCATCAACTTGCAATTCAAGAATCGCAAACGGGCTGTCCCTTGCCATGTTGATCGCTCGATCACTGTTCCGGAAATTTCCATGCCAGTAATATCGATCATTTTCGAGTTCGGATATGAGAGGGCAGCAACAGATTCACTTGTGACCATCCACACTAAGGCGACACATCTCACGACTCGCAGCTCTGTAGGCGAAATGCTCCCAGATGACCACCATTATCAAATTACCGCTTATGGTTGCACTTCCGAAACTTTTCAGGCGGTTTCACCGGATGTCGAGAACCTTTACCCGTCCATTCTCGCGGCTCAGAGTATCCTTGAGGACTTTCCTAGAGCAAAATCTAAAGAGAATTTGCAAGCCCTCGAGGACCTAAAACCGTACTTTGGTGGTGTTTTAGAATCAAAGAAACGGTCAGAGGAGTGGGCGAAATTGAGGTTGGAGGGCAGAAAGCGCCCGAGATCCACGGAACCAGACATCACACCCAGAGTCACACGTGCAGCAGCCAAAAACCAGGATACTGGCAAGGGTGTCTCCAGAGCGTCGGGGAGCTCAACTACCCAAGTCCAACACCCTCGAAATCGGAAGAGAGGATAGGCCAATGGATGGTGGATGCAGAGACAGGATGTGTGCCATATGGATCGCAAGACTTGATGCATGTCGAGAACAGTTACGTGTTGCGGAGCAAATAAATTGCTGAAGCGGGAGAAACTCTTTTGAAAGATGTTGAGGTAGAATTCAAGTAAACCTAAACTGAACCCCCAGAGTGTGGTGCAATGGTTCATGTGAGAACCCAGAAAAAAAAAAAATCGAAGCAAGAAATGTCTCATCCCCTCCGTCTGCTTCCTCCATCGTCATTTCGGGGCGTTGCTTCGGACCATCTATGGGGTTCTGGTGATCCAACATCCTAGCCTTGGCACCATAATCAACTCTTAACTTAGCATCTGTCTGACTCGGCTTGACGCGGGCTTGGGAGAGGTCGACTCTGACTGAGCACATCGCATTGCTACCAAACTTGTCACATATATTTACATGAGCCCTAAGAGGGAGCTGAAGGAGAGCTGACTGTTTGAACATGTAATCAATCGCTCTCAAATGGTGTTGTGCCAGGATGACCTGGACGGTTTGGGTCAAAACTAATGAAACCCATAGGGATCGTGAAACTAACATTTGGATGCTCGTTAGTATCGCAGCGACATCGTAGGTAGGTGACCAGCGATTCTGAAGCAAAGCTCTCCATTCGCGTGGACATTCGGATGGAGCATATTTGACAACGGTGGCGGGTTTGTTGGGATAGGACTCGTTGAATTGAATGTTTACTTGGTCCGAATATTACCGCATTCCATAATATGAGGTTGTCATTGCAAGGAGTGCCTGATATTCTCTGAGGTGTAACTTGAATCTGATGCACTAAACCTGAATCCACCCCATGATTTGTCATGTCGGAAGTTTGCGGAGGTCATGTGTCACCAAAAAAAAACACGTGGAAAATATAATTTTTCGTTTTCAGTTCTGGCTGGAGGTATATCCAGGCACGAATTTCAGCTGGAGCGAAATTTTCTAAGTTAAATTTGAACCATGCTTAACGTTGTGCAATTCACATCAGCCAATTTATGCTGTCTAATCAGGTGTTACTGGTCGTAGCGGGAGATGGCCAAGTGGCCCAACAAGCCAGCCAAGTTACTGAGCAGGCATGGATGATTCCGGGAGTCAAGAGAGCGACAGCAGCAGAGGCAGCAGCGATAATGCACGAGTGAGAGTTTGGATACAAAGCAGTAAGCGGCCCAACTCACCGAGAGTGGCACGAATTCAGGTGATAGAGAGGGGAAAAGTGAAGGTGCAGGCGCTCTTTATAAGTGTGGGCTGGACTAACTGTGAGCACTTTCGCAGTGAGATACGTACCTCTGCTGGTGTGGTCTGTTCCGCGCATCCGCGCCAGAACACCCAGCGTACGGCTGAGGCAAAACCTAGGCTCATTGAGAAGTCAGGTTGCGCGGCAACTCGTGATTGGTAGGAGCGGCAAAGGGGAGTGGGCAGTGCTAAGACAGAAGCGGCAGGATATGATCGAGCGGAGGAAACCTCAGCATGAGCTGGGTTGGGTCTGATTGTAGCCCCGTGATTAGTCCCGTGAAATGAAACATTAAACAATAATTTAGATATGTATCTTAACACACCTCCAGCTGCAACGTCCCACTCAAACACAAATCAGCTACAATATAAAATACATGAAATAGAAAGTGAAAACCTGCCTCCATCTTGAACAAGTCTGAGGAGGGGGAGTCCCAAAAATTTTATATGCAACCATCATTCAGTGATGGGTCATCATACAAAGAGAGTTCAGACCCAACCATTAAGGTCAAACTAAGTCCTGCATGGCAACCATTGTTCAGTGATGTGTCATAGCCATACAAAGAGTTCAGATACAACCATTGAGATGGTCCAACTAGGTCCAAAATTGGAGCAGGAAGGGAGGTGAGTGTTGTTAGAGACTGGATGCAAGATGAAGGAGATGTCTCTGTGGTGGAGGGCTTTGGCCTCAGCAACTCAGACCAGGAGCGCTGTGCCTAGTTACATGTCCATGCCCTAATTTACTTACTGGCAGTGAGAACTAAAAAGGGGGATCAACTCTAGTCAATTTTATCACTGTGTAACCTATCTACAAGTTATGAATAGTGAAGGCAGGCCTGTGAATGGCAGGACTGAGCAGAGCAGAGCTAACGGAGTTAAACATTAGCTGACTGAATATTACCAATGAGTCGGGTTACAGGGTTAGCGGAATGGCAGGCTATAACCCAGAAATGGAAAGGAGGGATAGGCCTGAAGGTAGACTTGCAGGGCAAGCAAGTGAATTGCCCAGCAGGGGCAGGAGTGCGCTAGCAGATGTGTAAGGGATGGACAGGGAATGGATGATGTGCACTTTGCGTGCATTTCTTATTCTTATTATTTCTCGTAATAAACAATGGTATATACATATATAGTGTCTGGGGTTGGGAAAAGGAGCTTAGCTCTTCTCCTCCCCCCCTGTCGAATACTAGCTCCATACAGTCTACATTATCAACAGCCAGAGGATTGAGGAGTCACCAAGGCTGGCACCCCAACCGGCCTTACAGGACATCAGAGCTCTTCAGAGTCCTTCAGGGGTCCGTACTTAGGGAGGCATAGGTAATATATTGAATTGAGGGGGTGGTGACCATTGAGGGAGTCAGAGGTGATTGCAGAATATGGGGGCTCTGAGGTTAGTGACGAAGGAGCGGAGGTAGTCCGGGAGGATCAGAGGTAGTGGAGGACAATGGTCGTAGATGGATATGACAGTCCCGGTGTGCAGGACTCAGTGGGATGAATAGCAGCTATGCATAGTGGTGGTCCCATCATGGGGTGAGCGTTCCCGACCACTTAGTCTGAAGTGGGAATGTGAGAAGAAGGCTACTTCTTCAGTTCCCACTCCAGCTGTTATTATATACATGCGGCATCAATCATGTGGGGTGTGCCACATCACCCTTGCACACAGCCATGGCTCTCTGGGTGTCTCCGCAGGAGATCCTGAGAGGGTCCATTGTAGGTGCAAGGTGAGCACAGTGGTGGTGATGGCGATATGGGGATGGTAAGAGACAGGAGGGGGAATGGGCATCTGCACTGAAGGAGAGAACAAAGGAAGGTCAGTTGGGAGGTGTCACGACCAACAAATCCCGGGGCTCCGTCAGCAGCGAACCAATGCCGATAGGTGAATCTGCTGACCCGAAACCCATCCTAACCAGCCCCCAACCCCATGTCTGGCCCCCTGCCTTACTGCATGAGACTTGGCCAATAATCAGAACCTAGACCCTGCCGGTATTCTGACCTTACCTCCAGTTCCTGAGCCCTTGGCGCCCCTGGCATTCAGTCATGCCTGCCTTGTCTCCATCTGAACCACACTCATCGCTTCCCGCTATGTGGTCACCGCCATGCCCCGCTTCCATGCATTCCGCACCCTCTGCCCACTCCGCACCCTCTGCCCATCTCTGCACCCTCTGGCCACTTCTGGTTGCCCTTGACACCTCTGGTCAGGTCAACACTCCCCTCTGTACCTCTGTTGGCCTTCATGCTGTCCTTGTGTGACAGTGCTGGCAGATCAACCTCTGTTTGCGGACTTGTGTCGGCACCGCACTGACCCCGCTTATTTGCGGACTTGTATCGGTGCCGCGTGCTGACCTCCGCTTTTGTCCTCTGGCCATTTTTGTCACTCGGCAACATAACATTCATTCCCTGCCGAGTGCCTATTATGTTCACCCCAATATTGGCATTTGATCCGTGTGCTATTGCACCTTCCCATCCATCCATTTAATCTGTCAATATTGGTATTTGATTCACTTTGACTTTATTCATTCTTTGCTTCTCATTTCCCAGGTTCTTGTCCTTGGTTTAGTTTGACAAGTCCCTGCTCATTCCCGCTTATTTCCGCACCAGACCGACCAGTCCCTCTTTTGATTTCTCTTACCTACTTATACCTTGTAAATACTTTTGGGGACCTCAGTCTGAAATCAACTAGAGTACCCCCCCCCCCTGTCTGGTCTCAGTCTCTCCTTCTGCAAAGGGGGCTTCCCCCCCTCTGAGTCCGTGCTTGCGGAGTCTGCACTCCTCCTACAGGTCCGCTCCACCCGCAAGTCTTGTTTGAAGTCCGCTGTGAGTGTCAGTCTGTAAATACGGGATCTCCCCCAAATGTCAAGCTCAGGGCACAGCGCTCCACCTGAGTCGCTGAGGCCATGATCCCACTCCGCTAACCTTGAACAGCACTTCTGGACGTGCCGCAGATTTCTGCCTGCATATCCGTGCACACGCTCCAACAGACCTCTGCATCACCTCCAGCCTCAACTCAGACAGAACCCAATCCGTCTTCTATCCATCTTCTGACAGTCTGCCAGTCTCTGACAGGAGGTTCAAATGAGACCACCACCAAGCTGTTCCTGTCAGGGCACACACCCTGACTAGCCTGGACCCAGACCCATGTCCGGACCCGCTCCCACCTGCTGCGCTTCCCGCACGCGTGCATGCTCTGCATGCCACATGCTCTGGGCCCGGTTCCTACCCCTTCATGTGACTTCCGGGTATCCCCGGAAGTTTTGCTGATATTGTGGCCACTGTGGGAAGATGAGAGGCTAGCTTCCTTCTCGTCTTCTTACCCACAGTAGTGGATTGTGCCCTGGACAGGGCTGGCCAGACCTGAGGCTGTGGGCCATAGGGGAGGGTCATGGGGACCTGGGAGTCGTCCCCTGACAGTAGTTTTCCCTGTAATTACTTTCATTGGGTCCATTTGGGAGACATCTACATTTCCTATTATAAACACGACTTTGAATTTTGCATTGGTTCCTAAGGAATCCTTGTTCCATGGTACTTCCATCCTCGGCTACATGTGCGGGCATGGGAAAGTAGTTTCCGTGGAGGTTCTCTGGTTGTTTTTATAGTCAAATCTTGGTTGATTGTCCTAATTGATTGTTTAATATTTGCTATAAATTCCCCCGAGAATTCCGTCTTGTTGATGCTAAGCTTGAAGTATTTTTGCTAATTTTCTTTCTTCCAATTTATTGTATGTAGTTGTAATAATTTGTAAAAATTCGTTAAAATTCAGGTTCTTCTATTTTCTCATATCTACTTGTCGTATGGGGTTTTGTGATTTATCTGGCATATTTCCATAATGGGTTTCCATAGTGTGACCATTAGTATATTTGTGATCCATGTAAGGTTGCATGCAGTCGAGAGGAGGAGGTCTGTATCCAGGATTCTGCTGAGGTGCTGCCAACACTCCAGGTCCGGGAGGCAGGGGAGGGGGCAGTGCCCCAGCGTATCTGACGGGTAGAATGTACCCCAGGTATGGAGCCCCACCGGGTGGAGGAGGTGGTCCAGGTGGTCCTGGTGGAGGTGGTGGTCCTGATGGGAGTGGTGGACCCGCACCTCATGGTGGCGGCTGCCAGGGGTCGAGAGGCGGCTGTCTTGGATCATGATCTGGATCTCTGGATCCAATGGGTCCTTCATTCGCTGGATGGTGAGGAACACGAGGGGGTTCGGGTCCACAATTGTCGGGATCGAGTCTCTCCTCGACAGGTCCCAGCTCTGTCTTCCTTCTGACCTTCAAGCCTCTCACAAATTCCATGTAACCCACGTTCTCCTTGGGGTTCTCGAAAGCGTTGGTCTCGGTCTCTCGACGAATTGTGATGAATGGCATCGAGGGTTTGTCTCTGGGTAGCATCCCTGCAGCGACATTAATACTAGGTCTAGGCACCGGGAAGGCCCTGGATGGTTGAGTGTGTTTACAAACGAAAGTGGTCTCTTCAGTGGGAGATATGAGATCCTCAAATGTGGTCCATCCCGACAGGAGGGCTTCAGGTTGACAAGTGGGTCGCATTTCGGTTGACCACGCCTCCTCGACTTGCCCAGGATCCGTAAACTTGGTGGGCAAGA